CGTTAAAGTTTGATGAGGCATCTAGTGTACAAGAGAAATGATGACAAACATCTTATTTGAAAGATTAACAAATCATTAACTTTTTTGAGTTACACACTCAATTTTCACCAGATTGAGCTGAAACTGTTTCGCACATACACAGCAGTACACGAGAGAAATGATGATAAACTTCTTATTTAACTTCTTACAAAGCAGTCACAAAAAATATATTTTCCATTTATCGAGTCGAAGAGTTTAATAATTCAACGATAAATCTAATAGTTTAATGTTTTATGTCTTTAGTTGTTTAAAGGAAAATTTTATTATTGTGAGGGACCATTAGCTCGGAATGTTACAACAAAACAACACTGTGAGGGTTTATCCGATCACGAATGGAAAAATCAACAATACAATTTTGATAATTTAGGCCAGGTTTGTAATTAATTACGGATCACTAATGTGTTTAGAATTACTATTATGTACACTTGTCTTGTTATCAGGCACTTCTTGCATTATTTGTTTTATCATCGAAAGACGGCTGGGTTCAAATAATGTACAACGGTATTGATGCTGTTGATGTTGATGTTCAACCACGAAAAAATTATGATGAATCAAAATTACTCTATTTTATCTCTTTTCTATTGCTTGTTGGCTTTTTTGTATTAAATATGTTTGTTGGAGTTGTGGTAGAAAATTTTCATAAATGTCGAGCTGAACAAGAACGAGAAGAAAAAGCACGACGAACAGCAAAGCGTGCAAGAAAAATTGAAGCAAAACGTCGTAGTACGTTAATTGATATTTAAAAAACTATTATTGAAGATTAATAATTAAATTTTTTTTTATTTTTCTTCTAGGAATGAGAGAACTTCCGTATTATGCTCATTTTTCACCATGGAGAAGAAAATTACACGATGTATGCAATAGTAAATATTTTGATCTTATTATAGCGGCTGTTATTGGATTGAACGTTGTTACAATGTCATTAGAATTTTATTTAATGCCACAGGTACATAAAAATATAGATTCATTAAGATTGTAAATAATATTTTTGTTTTTATTATTTTTCATTTTATTTAAGGTGTTTGATATTGCACTCGACTATTGTAATTATGTATTTACAGCT